TTGATGTTAAAGGTGATGAAGGCATATTTCTGGGTTACTCTCTGTCATCAAAAGCATATAGGGTGTTAAATAAGAGTTCCAGAAAAATTGAACAAACTTATTATGTCACCTTTGATGACAATTATATGAAGAAGGTTCAAAGGACTGACAATGATTCAGGAGACATATTCCCAAAATCTGGACAGGCCTCGGTTCCAATATCCAACCTGTTTGAGGAATACATTCGGCTGTTCGATGAACCAGAAAAAGCAATTCATTCGGAGGCAACAGCAGCAGACAACAAAGTAGATAATCTCAAGAAAGTCATAGAAGAAGCCAATAAAGAGATGGAAAGCGAACCACCAAGTCCTAAGTCATCCAACGGCTCTCCAAGTAAAGCTTCAACGTTCCAGGGGGGAGAGCTCAACCACTCCAAAGACAACTGAAGTTTCTGTTGAGGGAGAGAATCCAAGTTCAACCCCAACATCTAAAAGTATAGATGATAAAGATATAACTGATCCAAAAATCACAAGTGAAAATCCAATCAAGGGGGAGACACCCACTTCAACAAGAAATACAAACTCTGATGTTGATAGAGACTTCACTTCGCCAGTCGAGGGGGAGAAGGAAAAAGTAAGTGATATTTCTACTAACGAAGGTGAGGGTAATCCATCAGATGTTGAAATAGAAGTAGAAGCTGAATTGAATCCAGAATATGATCCAAGCTATCCTCCATTAGTAAAATGGACAAAGGACCTTCCCAAAGAGCAAATTATTGGTGAAACTTCCGAAAGTGTTCTTACTCGGTCTCAACTGAAGGCGAAACAAACTGCATTATTCTCTAAAATGGAATTTTGTATGTTTAATTCGTTTATCTCCAAGATAGAGCTGAAAATGTAAATGTTGCATTTGATCATTCTGATTGGGTTCAAGCAATGCAGGATGAGCTCAATGAGTTCGAACGCAACAGAGTTTGGAGGTTGATTCCCACACCGAAAGATACCTCTGTTGTCGGCCTGAAATGGGTGTTTAGAAATAAGCTGGACAAGGAGGGGAATGTCATTCGTAACAAGGCTCGGTTGGTAGTAAAAGATTATTGTCAAGAAGAGGGGATAGATTATGAAGAAACCTTTGGTCCAGTAATAAAGTTGGAATCTGTTAGAATCTTTCTTGCATATGCTGCTCACAAGAACTTCGAAGTTTTCCAAATGGATGTCAAATGCGCTTTCTTGAATGGAGAATTAGAAGAAACCGTCTATGTTGAACAACCGCCTGGTTTTGTGAATGAAAAATACCCTGATCACTGCTATGTGTTGGATAAAGCTGTCTATGGGCTAAAACAAGCACCGAGAGCCTGATATGAAACACTAACTCGCTTCTTAAAAATATCAAAATCAAAACAATGTTCGGTTGACCCAACCTTCTTTCGTAAGAAAGAAGGCGAACAGTTGATTATTGTTCAGATTTATGTTGATGATATCATCTTCGGCTCCACGAATCCTAGCTTAACAGCTGAATTCAGGAAGTTGATGGAGACTAAATTTGAAATGAGCGCAATGGGTCCAATTAACTTTTTCCTTGGTTTGAATATTAGACAGGGACTAGAAGGTATTTTTATAAACCAGGAGGCATACACCAATAACTTAGTAACAAAATTTGGAATGAAGGGTGATTCAAAAGTGAAGGTTCCTATGGCATTCGGCACTAAGCTAACCCCATCTCTGGAGAAACCTGCTGTGGACATAACACTTTATCGTCAAATGATAGGGTCTCTTATGTATCTAACAGCTAGTAGACCAGATATTATGTTTTCTGTTTGTTATTGTGCCAGGTTTCAAGCCAATCCAAGAGAACCTCACATGTTTGTTGTGAAGAATATTTTCCGATATCCGAAGAAAACTTCATCTCTCGGTCTCTGGTATCCTGCAAAATCAGGATTCTTCATTCAAGCCTTTTCTGATGCTGATCTAGGAGGATGTGGACTGGACAGAAAAAGTACTACAGGTGGATGCCAATTTCTTGATGGAAAACTTGTGAGTTGGCAATCCAAGAAACAAACATGTGTTTCATTATCCACAGCCGAAGCTGAATACATCGCTGCTGCATCTTGTACCTCTCAAGTGGTTTGGATTCAAAGTTAATTAAGAGACTATGGGTTAAGTATGAAAAAGATTCCTCTCTATTGTGAATCTGAAAGTGCAATAAGGATTTGTCATAATCCAGTGCAACACTCAAAAACTAAGCACATTGCACTTAGGTATCATTTCATCAAGGATCATGTAGAAGATGGAAACGTGGAAGTTCACTTTGTTCAATCTGCTGATCAACTGGCTGACATCTTTACTAAAGCCTTACTCGAAGCAACCTTTAACAAAATCTTACAAGGATTGGGCATGATGGAATGAGAGTCGGTACCGAATCTTCAAATCTCTCATTAAAAATTAGACAACCGAAATGAACAGACCGCTCGGTCTATTTCGGCTCTCGAATTTTAGGGAACAAAAATGGACAGACCGCTCTGTCTATCTCTGCTCTGTAATTTTCTGGAACAAAAATGAACCGAATGTTCTATCTATTTCGCTTCTCTCATTAAAAGATAAGGTTTCGGTTGTATATTTTGTGCATATCTTTTGTTTGCTTTGAAATTTAAATATTTCGATTCTCTCATTAAAAGTGAGTGTGTGGTTACTTTCTTCTAACGCATAATTATTAAGTCTTTAATATAAAATACGTGTTATGTGTATATTTTGTTGTTATATGCGTGAATGTATATTCACTTTCTTCTATCTCATAGATACGATTTATTCTCTATGAAATACATGTTATGTGTATGTGTCTCATCTGTTGTTTTGGAATATGTATTGAATGAGAATGCTATGCAGGTTTTAAACTATGTATAAAAATATATATTTTTATCTACTAATATGTCGGGTAGAACATGGGTAGATAATTAACGTGTGATAAACAGATGAGAGGCCTCAATGTTGTTTTTGATTCAGTCATCTAGCGGAGTTTAGATGATGACCACAGACTTTTCTAGACAGTCATGTGGAACGCTAGCAGGTTCACCACCTGTAGGTGTTAATGAACTTGGGTGTTCATTCGCTGTACTCTATCCCCCTCATGGTTGCCTTATTTGACTTATATTGCTGAGGAACCCCCGAAGCATGTGTTGTCGCCCTGATGAAATATTCTTAGAATAGGTCCCTTATGTTAGTTGTCTTAGGGATGTAAAGTGAGAATAACGGGAATGGGTAATTGGGTTATTGTTGGTTGGTGGAATTAAATATAATTATTTATTGTGGGTTGAAAACCCTATATGCTCACCAGGCTCCCAAGCTTGACCCACTCAGTTTTATTTATATTACAGGAAGTGGTGCAAGGGTATAAGATGGATGAACCATCAAGTTGTTTTGTTTACAACTCTGTATATGTATATATTTGTTGAATGACTTGTAATGCTATCGTTTATGCTTTATGGTCTGTATCGGAACATGACATCCCGAGTTTTGATTATATAATGAAAATACATTTCTTTTATGAAATGATTTGGTAAATATTATTTTATCACATTTTGTTTTTGGGAACAAATTCTGCAACTCTTTCAAATCAAAAGGATTTACTCTGAAATTATTTTAAAAGCATAAATGAAAATCGTTCTTTTCTGGCCGAGATTTTTGGGGATGTCACAGATTCCATAACAACTTTCTGTAGCTATTTAGGATTTTTCGTGTACCGGTGGTAACTCTTCTAGTTAGGTTATGCTTACATAGAAGTTTGGATTGAGTCAGTCATTATCTTGGAATGTATTCAGTTAGAGAGACAATCTATGTGAGAGCATTCAGCTTCTCGAAAGCCAAAAACGTCTTTGTTATTTTTATGATTTCCAATCGATCCTTTGATTCAAAGCCTTTTCTATCTGTTGTTAATTCTAGGGTACAAAATATTTTTAGGAGCACATGCACACCATTTGGATATATTTTAAAATAATTTTTATGAGCATCTAGACACCATTTGGAAGAAATAGCAACGTATTTTTTAAACATTAATCCATTAACAATTTTATGTAATTTCGTTGGAAAAACATAGCAACACACTTTTTTAAAAATATATCATATTTTAGAAATGTGTTATCAAAGGATGCAAAAGCACATATAACCAAACATGTGTCATATTTCATACTCTAATTATTGGTCCTTACTCCTTAGGTTAGGGAAGTATTGTTATTGAGGATTAAGAACTTTATACAATAAGTATGTCAGCCATATGTTCATCCTATTTATGGATGCTTTTTGTTTATGAACATTCATAGTCTGATAAAAAAAATTAATATACAGGATAATATGTTTGCTTCAAAAATCCTACCACGATATGTAGCACTCATCAACTCTATGACAAGAGGGAACTACAGGGTCACAAAAGAAGTAATTGGTAGGCATGTCAGCACAACTATAGGAATAAGAATCCTTGAGTTGCTTTGGCCAAATACAAGGTATAACGTTGCAGCAAAAGCTACTATCATGGCTGTGGTTGAGATGAACAAGGTGGCCAAACCAATTATCAACTTTGTAGGCAACTTGAAGAGAAAGTCTTGTTCAGCGAAACGTGCAGTGAGAATCGACAAAAACATTACCAATGAGGTAACAGCACAGAATAATGATATGGCATCTGATACTGTAAATATTGTGAAGGCAGTGTGGTTGGTAAACACTGGTAGCCCACCTTCCTGCTTATTTCCTCCTGGCACTGTGATAGCTGCTGCAAACACAATGGTGATGATTAATGCAGTTGTAATCGTGTAGGACTCTGTAGTGGACTTCATCCATTTTTGTCCCTCAATCACCAACTCCTTGTGTTCTCTAGTAAATATTGTTTGTGGTGTTTCGTTGAAAGAATTCTTTTGTATGATGCTTAGAGGACAAATGAATCTTTCCACTTCCCACAAGATTACAATATGTTACATATACTTGATAAATAGTTATGACGTTTAAATATATATGTCAATTTTGAATGATTGAGATTTATACCTTAAACCATTGTAGTTCACGTTGTATTTGTAAAGCTTCCCCCGATATAAGATTCAGTTTGTTGTTAGGTGCCAATCTTGCAGCTAGATGCAATAGGTTATTCCCTAAAGAGTCTTTAATTCTTCGACATATATTCCTATGTTGGCTCATCCAATATAGTAGGTTGTAAATCTTTTCTGAGCGATTTATCACAGCATACTGAATAATGTTGTGACCATCTTCGTTGGCACTCCAAATTGCATTAGGGAAGTGATGCATAATTTTATCTACAAACTCGTATGCATTTTGTCTTCTGGCTTCAATAATTGGATTTCTGTAATAATGATGGTAAGAGCTGAAGTAGTTTTTTTCCCTTATCAACATAGATACCTCCGACAACAGGCATATAACATCTTCAAAAAATTTATGTCCCTCTTTAAAGAATAGATACACTGCAACATAGACACAAATTTTGAGCATCTGAAATAAAGAGATAAACCTTTTTTTTCCTCCCTTTCATTTTTAGTTATATAATTATGGTACTTGTTGATCATCTTACCTAACATCCCAAGGATATACAGGAAACACATAAGGATGCAGGAAGTCACTGCATTACGGATAGAATGTTTGTTAGAATGATGATCATGGGGTTAATAATAGAATGTGCAACCAACAAGTTAAGAGTTCAAGAAAAGATAAGCTCGTGACCTACCAAATAAGATTGGGATGCATATCAACCTCAAAACCGATCTGCCATAAATAATATAATTGCAAGGGGTTGTGAAATACTCATCCACCCACATAAGTATATCATTCGCTTCAATATTAAAAAGTGGTGTTCAGGAAGAGTGTCAAGAAAGTTTTATAAATAATTTGACAATGTAGAATCAAGATAAAAAAAAAACAACAAACCTTTAAGCTTGGGAGGGAAATTTTGAGCTATAGCCATCAGCACAGCATCAGTATGCAATGTTTTGTAACGCTTTAACAGTTCTCTTGCAAAACCTACATATTTTCCAAAGTCAGTCGTATCAAGTATACAAGTGGGTAGGTTTTTTACTAAAATTCGACACTTACCAAAATCTTTAGAAGAAATAACAGTAACTAGAAGGTCATCACCAGTTTTGCCAGAAAACAGAGCATCCTTCTGTATATCATCAATAACAGTATTGATGCATTGCAACAGATGTCTTGCTGTCTGGGTATGCATATTAGAAAGAGCCAACAACAAATTTGGGTCCTTTGCCACCAAGATGTCAGCAGTTTCATAGTTGCCATTAATGGCAGCTACATGAAGCAGCGTGCTTCCATCTGAATTTCTTATATTCGTTAGTTGTGTGTTCTCAGGTATCTTTTCCAACAATTTCTCTAGGAATTCTCGGCCCTTGAAATTACCGACTGCTGCATGGAGCGCGGTGGTGCCATTATTGGTGATTTTGTCCGTCACTGTAACCCTTTCCTGCCTCAGTATGTCTTCAACCCCATTCCAATAACCAGCTTTAGTATGATTGTATAATCTGTGGAGATTCTTTGCTCTGTCTTTATCTTGTAGTGTATCTATATTTGCATATTTGTTATGAAGTAAAAACTACAAGATAGAAAAATATGTGCTTTGATATTGCCACAAGGGAAAATGACTTACAAGTCCATGAAGTTTTCAAATCGTTCAAAAAACCTTAATCATGATTTGTTTATTCAAAAAAATCCAACGAACTTAACTTTTTGTTTAAAAAAATCCAACGAAGCTTCCAAAACATTTAAAAATCCAATCATATTTTGTCTGTTGAAATAGTTAAATTCTTTGGATTCTATTGAACAGACAATACATGATTGAAGTTTTTTGAACGGTTTGGAAACTTTATTGGTTTTACAAATCATTTTCCCGATATGGTAATAAGACACGTCATTTGTTTCGCTTCTTTGATTTCCGTAGAATTAAACAAAAGTGTAACTTTGTTTGGCTTTTTTATACAAAAGATTAAGTTCTTTGGGTTTTCTTAATATACAAAACATAATTGAGGTCTTTTGAATGATTTGAAAACTTCGTTGGACTCCTAAGTTATTTTCCCAATAAAACAGTTAAAGATTTTAAATGAGGATGAAAATAAAAACCTTGTTTGTATCGACACTTTTATCAATTTTCTATACTTTGTACCTTGTTTCTATAGACGAGTGTTTGGCTGACTCAATCTTTTTAGTGATTATATTTTATACAATTTATCAAAAGCTATACACGTCTTATCATATTATAATGACGAGTGCTATATGATTTGGATGACCAACTCAAATAAAAGATACATAAACAAAAAAAAAAAAAAAAAAATTACCTTCAACTACTAGCAGTTCAGGTGGAATACCAACAGGAGCATACATAGTGTGGAGTTCATCCCATGCATCTTTTCCACTAAAATCATTTGCATTTCTCTGTTGATGGAGACGATCCAAAACATACCCTAAAGTTCGTTTAGAGAGAGAACCAAGAATCCAACCCTTCACAAGTGCATCTGATCTTCTCCACAGCCTGTAGTGAGTTTGATAGTCACCCACTTTTTCCTTCCCTGAAATACTAATGGGTTGAGGGCACATGAATATACCATTGATGAAACAAAGCATACCATGACTCTCCAATAGACATAGCATTTGTGTTTTCCACATACCATACTCATCCCTACCACTCAGCTTCACAGTGGTAAAGCCTGTTGCAGATAGATTTGATGGGTATGGGTATGTGTATGTGTGTTGTTCTCCAACTTCGAGAGTGACATGTGAATTGGAGCTTGAGCTGGCCATCTTTCTACCTTTTTATTTTGATTTCTGTGAATACTACTTCTATCTTCTTACATGTTTATATAGAAACATAGAGTTGATTTGTGGTGCTCACATGCAAAAGCAACTTTAAGATTGCTTCCTCCTTAAGTGATTCCCATAATATAATAATGTTTTCAGAAAAGAATATAAATTTAAAATGTTAATTGCGATATGATTTTTTTTACTTTGAAATTTATTTGTCATTGTATAGTCAAGTCTTAAGGAAAGAATATTTGGAGTGTGGTTACCCCTGCTGCTTCACCTCCCATCACTGGTCGTCTTCTCAGTTTTTCAAATTCATGTGATTATGTAAAGACAAAAGTGGGGCTTGACAAACAGATTTTTTTTCTATAAACCAAGAAAATATGGCCCACAAAGATTTAAATGCAATAAAAAAAACGACAAAGTAGTCTGATGTTACTTTGTGTACTGATGCAGACGTAAACCGACAGATCAAAAAACGGGGACAAAAAAGGAAAACGTGAAAACAAGGGATAACAAGATTGCTTGGAGCATATGCTTTATTAGCTGGAAAAAACTTGTTCTGAAATGGAATTAAAAGTAACGCAGGTCCTAATTTATACTAAACACAAACCAATTTTTGTCACTGCCATCTGATATGTTTTACATGCCTGTGTAAAAGGCTAGCAACCCCTGAGTCTTATTTTCTAAATTAGACCAACATTCTGCTCCTTTATTCACAAATGGTCACCACCTTTAATTCTTTATCTTCACCTTAAGAATGCTCAGACTTCTTCTCACTTCTTATCATTTGTTTTAAACGACAGATCTCTTCTACTTCTAAACTACTCCTTCTTTCCACATATATCCATGACATGACTTGAACCCACAACCTTTAGGAGGAAGGACAATACCAAATACCACTAGGTAGAAGCCCTATCGTACCATTCGATTTATCATGTTTGTTGTTTTTTCCCTCTTCTTTTCTAAGCCTTGTGGGCCTAAACTGTCAAAAGATCATGTAACAACGTAAATTTTCAAAACAATTTTTTTCATTTTTTAAAACATAATTTCATTCATAAGAAATATCAAAATCCAATGTAACACATGTCCAACAAATAAGCAATCCCAAGATCTCAAATACATAAAACTCCATCAATGTGTACAGATCATGCCGGTGCCTTCCCGCGGTCCTTGCTGGTACCTGAAACACATATCACATAAACGGTAAGCATAAATGCTTAGTGAGTTCCGCAAAATACCACATACGCCACTCAAGGCTAATACTCTACAAGACCTTCCGGTTAATGTGTCTCAGGGGACTTCCGTCCCATAATCCTGGTAGACCTTCCGGTCCCACTTCTCTGACCTTCCGGTCCGTATCATCTTGACCTTCCAGCCCATACACTGTTGACTTTCCGGTCCATATCAAAATACTCATAACGTAACATAGCACATACATATCATATAACAGCATACATCATATACTCATCATAGCACATAAGACCTTCCGGTCACACATAATTACCACTCTAGGTAAAGTATAGTGAGAAAACTCACCTAGTACGATGTCGGATAACCTCTCGTGCTCGATAACCCGACCTAGCCTCCTCCTATCAACATAATAACATCTCTAATAAATACTTTTCTCTTGTCCTCATTTCTAAAGAAAGGGTAGAAGACCATTCTACCCCTCCCTGACCTCTCTTGAACCAGCTTGACCAAAACCCTAAGGTCAACTGAAGTCAACCCTAGTCAACGGTCAAACTTTGACCAAACTCGTCGAGTGCACTCGTGTGACTCGGCAAGTCCATGCATGTCCTCTTAATCCTCCTAAATACTCACTCGACTCGTCGAGTTAACCTTTTACTTGATGGGTTACCACTGGTCACAAATCGCGGGGCAACCCGACTCGACTCGTCGAGTCCCCTTATGGACTCGGCGAGTTCCCTCCATGGCAACACTCAAAATACCTTCTGAGGTCAAATTTGCTTCTCTAACCTATAGATCTGACCTTCTGATACTCAATAATCACGTAAAGGTCCAACCTTTACGCTCATGCAACACTCATAGGACTTCTTTTGATGAAATAGCTTCTAAAATGGCAACCTAGGTTCATATATCCAAAGAAATAGCATAAAGCATGATAGATGGGACTTTTTAGACCTCTTAAGGTCCAGATCTAAGAAGAATTCCACCTTGGGACCTCATATGCTTCGAATCCAAGATAAAGAAGGCATAAGAAAACCCTAGATTCAAGTAGATCACCATATACACGAGAATGAGCATAGATTTATACCTCTAGCAGTCTCTTCTGATCAAATGGTAGTAGATCTGAGCTCCTCAATCAGCCAAGCTTGCCCTCAATTCTTCTTTCTTGCAGAATCACCCTAGAAATGAAGAAAATCGCTTATTTTCTCACTCACAATGCTCTCAGGTTCTATGGTGCTCTCAAGGGTGAAGGTGACCACAAATGAGGGCCATAAGATCCCTTAAATAGGGCACAGGCCTGAGGATTTAGGGGTTCTATCCACAGCGCGGACTCATCGGGTCCACCCGTCGACTCGTCGAGTCTATTCATTAATCTAGTCAGCAATCGCGATCCTACTCGACGAGTCTAGGCGTCAACTCATCGAGTCCCTCTTCATAACTCAAAATAAATAATTAAAATATGGTACCTGGGAATCCGGATGTTACAGATCATCATCGTCATCATTGTTCCTATTAGTCATATTTCTTTCTTTGTTCGTCATCATTGTTCCTTCTAAATTCTCAGATATCAGATCTTTGTATTTAGTATCATCAACATGTTCATCATATTAGGTATCTAAATTTGCATTGTTTTGAACATCCTTTTCAGATGTTAATTCATACATCCCACACCTAGCTTTCTTCCTTAAAACCCTCTAATGAGTGCTTCGACTAACAGCAGGGAGCCAATCACATGCATCAAATGCATCTGCCACATTTATGAGTTTATTAGCATCCTACACTTCAGTGCTCTTATTAACTTGTTCAGCTGTTCTTATTTCCATGTGTTTTTGCCCTCCATAACCATTAACATCCTCAACAATGTCATTACTCTTCATCAACACAAGAGGTGTAACATCCCATATACTAAATAGATAAAGGGATAAGAGTTAATATGAATAAAAACCCTAAAAATCATTAATAATTTAGCAAGGTGTTGATTTTGAGGAGTTAACCGTAATAATTTTAGAAGTCATGGGTTAAAAGTGTAAGTTCTGGTATGGTTTGTAAATATTTATGAAGGCAGGGGCTGTTTGGTAAATTATTAGGACTTAATTTGAATAGATTTTGGGAAACAAGGGCTAAATGGTAAATTTCGGATTCAATTTGTAAAGAATTCTGAGGGCAGGGGATATTTGGTAAGTTTTGGACTTAGATTGAAAACAAAATTGTAAGGAGGGACTGAAGTTGGATATTTGGATGGAAGTTTGAATGAACACGAGATTGGTATCTATTAACCTATCTTTCCCGTCTTAAGGTCGTTTCCCCCCAAAACCCTAACCCTAAAATGTGTTAGCTGCCACCTTGTGTTCTCCTCTCAGCCGTCGCCTGGTTACGACCGATCGACTGCCTCCTAGCCATTGTCGGAGTCACGAGCCACCTATCACGCTACCTTAGTTGCCGCCATCGGGTGAAGAATCGTCGGAACGGGTGTGGATGTCGGGCAGAAGAGGCTGAGGGAAACAAATCGTGATTTCGCTTCCATTGTTCCTCGTTGGAGAATGTACGCCTCTTTTTCTCCGTCCTTGCTGTCGCAGAGCTATCGCCCCCATCGCTATATCGAGCAGGGGTTATGGTTGATGCCTCCCCTCTGACTGTCATGTGTCACCACGTGGATGGCTATGATTGGGTGTGTTTCTTGTGTCCCGCTGGTGTACTTGCGTGTGTGCGAGTTTCTGTTGGCCGGAAAAGCATGGGAAGCGACCATGGTGGCCATTATCTTGCTGCCACCCGTTCCTGTTTTTTTGCCACCCTCCACTGCCACCTTGCCACCATCCACCGTGGTAGGGGGTTATGGTTATTTGTATAGGTGTGTGTTCAAGTGTATTTGCTGCTCTCGGTGTTTTTGAGGTTGTATTTGTGCTTATGTGGCTGGAAAACCCACCACCACCCCGTGAGGTAGTGACCACCGTTGTGAGCCGCCAGTGACCACCACTACCTGAGGTGGTAGTGGGTGGTGCTTGACATAGTGAAACCCTAATCGGCCCAAATTCTTGATTTGGACTAGTTGGATGGTGATTGGGTTATAAACCCTAATTAGGGTTTGGAAAACCCTAATTTTAGGTTTGTTAGTTTGGATTTTATAGGGACCCGTGGTTGGACTGTTCGAGTAATATTGTGAATTATACCCAACTTCATTGTGTGAATGGCCTAGTGGAGTGATGGACTTAATGGGTTAAGTCCTTAAGGGGTTAAGTGAGAAACACTTAACCCTAATCGTCATTTTATGTAAAAACCCTAATTTTGCTTGGGCCTTAAGTTAGGCCTTTCTATTGGGCTTTGATGATTGGGCTATTGATGGGCCATCCAAGAATAATCATATAAACTGGAATATTGAGATGGGCTTTAGGGTAAGGCCCATATGAGGGTTTGGGCCCAATTTTGAAAATTGGGCCATATTAGGCCATTAATGCACCTTTGTGGACCTATTTGGTATTGGGCCTTGGTGGGCCAATGGGCTTGGGTTATTTATGGGTTGGGTTGGTGGACATTATTAAGACCTATATGTGAAGGTTTGGTCTTAGATCCTAATGAGGTTAATTGTGGGTTTGACTCAGTGTTAGAGGTTGAAGTACAACAACAACATTTATAGGATTTGTCCACCATCCGAGGTGAGTCTTCTCACTATACTTACCTGTGTGGTAATTTATGTGTGACCGGAGAGTGTTATTTGTGTTATTGACCAGAGGGTCTTAGCACCTTACTGACCGAAGGGTCTTGGTACATTATTGACCGGAGGGTCTTATTACATTGGTGACCGAAGGATCTTA